GTGAGAAATGGCGATTTCTGTTCCAGTGCTGTTTGCTTTTTGACATTGCTTAGGTATTTTCGCAATGCATTTGACTTCGCAGTTTCGCGGAAATTCATGTTCTCTTAGTCGTCTTTTCCGTATCACACGATGGAAGTGAGAAATGGCAATTTTCTTATGCAGGGTCTTTCTCTTTTCATGTTTTCACGGGTTGATCGCGATTCTAACGATTTCGCAGTTTCGCGGAAATTCTCGGTGCCTTAGTCGCCTTTTCTGAATTACACGATGGAAGTGAAAAATGGCGATTTTCTTATGCAGGGCCTTTTTCTTTTCATGTTTCCACGGGTTAATCGCGATTCTAACGATTTCGCAGTTTCGCGGAAATTCTCGGTGCCTTAGTCGTCTTTTATGCATCTCACGATGGAAGTGAGAAATAGCGATTTTCTGTTCCATTGCTTTTCGACATTGCCTAGGTATTTTCGCCATCCAGTCGACTTTGCAGTTTCGCGGAAATTCTCAGTACCTTAGTCATCTTTTCTGAAACACACGATGGTAGTGAGACGTTTCATAAGAACTTTAATGACATGTTATGTCCGTTCACACAACGAAAGTCATGGTTTAAAATATGGGCATGAAGACGATAATTTTTGCATTTAGCACAGTAGAAGTCATATCGGTTGAGTTAACAGGCAATCCGTCGGAAAGAAATTCAAGGATTACAATTTTTTTTGTTTCTTTTCTCTTGATGCACTACATCCACTCGATTATTCTTCCCTGTGATGAGGAGGCAAGACTAAAGTCCGAGGATGTGTAGTCTCCCATCTTCATCAGCAAATCCAATGGGTCCCCAAACCGTGTTGAATCCCTCTAGGTCTCCACGTTGTTTCCATTTGGCATAATCTCCGTTGATGGCATTCTTCAATTTTGACTGGAAGGAACTTAATGGAGAAATGGTATTAGTGTTGTCATTTAAGTTAATCTTTGCCATATACGTTTTATATATCTCACTCTTGGCCAATGTTATTAAAAAATCAATAAGACATTTGGACTCTCGTGGAAGACTGGATCTTGTATCGTGAATGTAGGTTAAGAAGAATTTGTCGTCAAGAAATAATGATGAATCAACCTTGTGTGATAGGACATTTAAAAAAGTCCTCAATGATGTTAATTTTTTACATGAAATGAACATGTGGGCCAACGTTCCTAGCTATCCACAATAGGGGCATGTAGGTGTATTGGTCAGCTTCATCTTATGTAAAAGAATAGGCGTTGATAAGCTGCCATGATTTAGGCGCCATGAGATATCACCATCTTTTTTTGATGATGGAAATCTATAGGGAGCTTTCCATATTATTGGTGTGTCTTTTAAGTTCATTAGAATATTTCCTAGTTGGTGGGCAGGATGAGTTACCTTATATTTTGAATGAACACATGAGAGGGCAAGTTCATATGTGGATTGACTTGATAAAGAAGGAAGAAAACGAGGTTTCAACGCACTCGGACAAGAGATTTCTAAGTGAGAGACAATATTTGATAGGAAAAGTTTTTTTGTCGGTGGAGACGTTATTTGAAGTTCAAGAGGGAATACATTTTTAAGTTTATCCAGGTCGATGCACAGTCGTCTGTGAGATTGAGGGGAAAGGGAACTAGGAAGCTGAAGTGAATCTATGTCTTTCCAGCCATTGGATTCTATGAGGTCACTCAAGGTTGTTTGTCCTGCTCTAGACCAGGCTATTGATGGTGAAAACTGGATATTATCAAAAGGAAGGGTTTCACGTAAGAAAATGTAGGAACATTCAGAGGGGGAAAACTTTTTAGTCTTAAGATGCCTGTTCAAGGTAAACCAGAGATGAGAAAGCTCTTGGTAATAATTTGGCGAAAGGTTGGAAGGTGCAAAGGGGGGTTTAGACAAAAGGAAGGCTCCCAGGTGAGGAGGGGAGATATCACAAGTTAAACAAAAGAAAAAAAAAGAAGAAATCATTCGGAGGGGAACAAGTGTCATCTGATAAAAACCTTCTGATGTGACTTAGTCTTCTGGCTTCCAGAGAACACATGCCTTGTCCGCCATTCAAAATGGATCTCTCTAGGTAAACTGGGTGTAACCAATGCTTTTTTGCCAAATAAGATTCTTGAATTTTGTCTCGAGGTTTGAGATAAAACCAGGAGGTGGGTCAAGACATGCTAAGGTATGAAAAAGACGACTAGCAAGTATCTGGTTAACAACTAAAATTCTACCACGGAAGGACATAGATCTAAAACGACGAGACCATTTGCGGATAGAATTGTCAATCTTCTTTTCTTCCTCAGGCCAGTTTCCAGATTCAATGGAGAAGACAGGAGTTGGAGGCTTGAGCAAAAATGTTACAACATTCAGATAAAACAGGAAAGCTGGAGTCGGTTGAAATGAAAATTGTAATGTCATCAGCATAGGCTGAGGTAATTAAGGGCTCTGATAAAAAAGGTGGATGAAGGGAGCAACTATTTAGACGATGTCTCAGCAAACATAAGAAGGGTTCAAGGGAAATGGAATAGAGGAATCCAGACAACGGATCGCCCTGGCGTTTAAAGGGAAAGGGGGAAGATAAAAGCTTTCCTGTCTCAAAAGACACTGAATGTTGTATAAAAGTCTGATGGTTTTTAGCGCTAAACAAGGGAAGCCAAATCTTTCCAAGGTGTAAAAGAGGTAATCATGGTTCACACGGTCAAAAGCTTTTTCTTGGTCTAAAGAGATAATACCCAATGGAATGTTGTTGGAATTGTCTCAGCAAACATAAGAAGGGTTCAAGGGAAATTGAATAGAGGAATCCAGACAACGGATCGCCCTGGCGAACGCCACGTTTAAAGGGAAAGGGGGAAGATAAAAGCTTTCCTAGTCTCAAAAGACAATGAATGTTGTTGTATAAAAGTCGAATGGTTTTTAGTGCTAAACAAGGGAAGCCAAATCTTTCCAAGGTGTAAAAGAGGTAATCATGTTTGACATGGTTGATAAATGAGAGTATGAAAAAAGCGGGCTCAACCCCCGACTTCAAAATACTGGGTGTTAGGATCTTCAGGGAGATTTTTTTGTTTCGATTTGATATATTGATATGATTTGATGATTTGATATATTCAATATATTGCCTAAAACGTCTATGTACAAATCTGTAATTTCTTGGACTTCGTTGCACCACTCTTTACTTTCTATATCTGGCCTACTCCTATTTGGCTTATACTTCTGTAATTCTTCTGTTAATCCTTGTATGAATTGTTTTCTCAATCCAATATCCATTTTTTTCCTCCAATTATCATATAAAAATTCGAATTGATACCGATCGACAATTCTATCAGTTGTTTTGTTAACTTCAGCTGGAATTAAATTAGTTTTTGCTATAAAATGACGCAATCGATTGTTAGCCTTTATACTACTTCTTGCAGAATGTAAGAATCTGAGACCCTTTTCCTTAATCCCGAAGCCAAGTGTATGACTTGCATGCAGGTTTTCAAAATCTCCTATCCGCAGATTTAATATGCTTTGGTTTTTTTTATCTCCAAATCTGACAGGTTTACCTTGTAGAATCCTTCCTCTCCCTCTTTGATGCGTGGCCCCTTTTTTAAAAGGCATTGCATCATAGTATTTTTTTGCATACCAAAAGCACTTAAAAAAATGTTCGTACCTTTGCCTACAGTGCTTTTCCAATGCTTCTCGTAATGTAAATTTGCAATCTCTAATTTCTTTATTTTTTACTCGATCAGTGATACACCGAGACATACCGAGGTAATGGGGAAAGGCGATGTGGAACTCAACAGTGGCAAATGGGAAGAAACACCATATGAAATATGTTGTTTAGAGTCTCCCTTTTATAGAGGTGCAGTGTCTTTTATCAGGAATTCCACCTTTATCTAGAGTACTTGCACAACGAGCATTTCGACATGCATGCATTCACCTCATACGTCGACCAGATGCACGAATAAAGATGATGTAAGGTCCAATTGAATGAACATCAACTTTACGTGGGATGGTTGAGTCGCATCCTCCTATTGTAGCAGTTTGTGCATGTAGCAGGTTGAATTAGATTACAAAAGAGGAAGTTTACCTGATTACTCCAATGAGAGATAACAGGTTTTTTTTTATAAGCCACCCAAATCCTCCATTTTTTAAGTTTTCAAGTTTTTTTCTGTATTGCTTTACCCTATGAATTTCACATTTTCCTCAATATATAATTATAACTTCTTATGGTATCCAAGGATATTGAGGAAAATTTGAAATTCATAGGGTAAAGTCCTCACCCCTATGGGAGATATCACCACCACCAACGACGAACAACTCCGAGAGCTTATGGCCCCTGACACCTATAAGTACCTCGGTGTGGAAGAGAATTCTTCCGTGGCTGTCAAGCGCACGAAGCAAAGACTGACGACAGAATACAAATGCAGAGTCCGTCTCGTACTGAAGACCGAGCTGTCCGGCAAAAACAAGATCTCAGTCCTCAACAGCCTTGCCACCCTTGTCCTTAACTACAGCTTCGGAGTTATCGATTGGTCACCTACGGAACTCCAAGCCATCGATCGAGCGACCAGAAAACTCCTAACCATGCATCACACCCAACATCCGAAGGCTGCCGTTGAAAGACTCTACCTTCCGAGAAGCAAGGGAGGGAGGGGACTGATCGAACTCGAGTCCCTCTATAAGCGGATGACGTGCGAAGTCGCCAGATACATCGAAAAGGAAGCAGGGAAGACTCATTTCCATCCTGAGAGAGCGAGATGCCCTGAAGAAGTCCCACTTCATCCAGGGAGATGCCACCCGCTTCCGAAACGCACTCCATCTCCCATGACATGATGTCATAGATGTGTCGTTCGATTCCTGCTGCTAGGATGGAAGACAGCACTTTTTAGACGGTTGGCAGGCAGGTGATGGGCCTGTAATTCCGAGGTAGCTTGGTTGCATGTGAGGAAGGCACGCGTTTGAGTTTTTTCCATATCAAAGAAGTCTGTTTGTATGGCAACCGTGCTTAGGCAACCAACCCCCCCCCCCCCCCTCCCAAGCGTCGTCTGCTTCATCAGTTGTCACATGTAGCGCGTGAGTCATCCTTACTTTTAGTAGGTCACTTATGTTGGCTTCTCGCTTGTCTTTCTCGTGTATTTTTTCTCGTCGTTGAGCCTCACTTCGAATGGAAGAAAATCGAGATATTTCGCTGAGGAAGTCCACTTCCACCTGCAATGGCACCGCCGACGAAATATCTGCAATCGATAAGGTGAGAATGAAGTACGCAAACATCAGACTTTGGCTAATGGGCCTTCTGTCAAATCCTTCACATGCAGCTTATGTCCAATGCCGGACTTGTTGTTGACAGTTTGGCTAAAGCTAATGTAGTCAACTCTCGATAATTCGATCCTCTAACTCGAAGTTACTGGCTTTCTGGCTGAAAGCCTCGTAAGGAGTCAGTCAACATCCATGAACCTCACTGCCAACCATTACAACACTAATGCAATTGAAATTTTGCATAGCTTTGTTGAGGTCACATCTGATTTTGCACCAGAAACTTTCCCCACAATCAGGCATTTGGAAAGTATTGTCGAGCATGAAGGTGCAGTGAAAAAATGCCAAACTCTTCTGAATGACTTTTTCAAGTGATTACACTAATATGAGTAGGTGTCGCATTTTTTAATACTGTTTACATGTATGTACAATTTTGTAGTGTATGGAATCTAATCAACCTCAGTAACTCCAATCTTCATTAACTTTAATTTCCCTTGAACTTAGAGACATTGAAAGTTGACCATATTTCATCTAGGCCTTTGGATTTCATCAGGCACTTATAGAAACCTTATCATGCCTTGTGCTGCCAATTTTTATGTTGGCCTAAAGTTATACAAGGCTAAAATTTGACAGATTAATAAAAATCCTTTGGTACGGCCTATGGTAGGCATTGGTTGACATTTTGCAGAAGTCTGATCTGATATATGCAAGCAGGTAATTGATTGATGGACTTATTTGCATGTTCATTGTAAAAAGCTGGATCTGATGGGATATGGATTGTCACAATGCTGCCCAGAAAACATTTGTCAGCCTGTAGTAGAATTGTGCAGCAGATAGGATATTTTCAGGTTTTTCTGCATGTGGATTGCATAGTGAATGCTAATACCAAGAATCTCTTAAAATGTTGAAATATTTTTATGAAGGAAAAAATATTTGAAAATTTGAAATATACTTTGTTAATTGAGCTAATGCTAATTGAGCTAATTAAATGCTTGTTAATGTGGTCATGTCTTCAATTCAGATTAATTTAAGCTAACTTGAACTGATGTGCATGATACAAATACTCAAGTTTTTTTTTTCATGTCTATTTTGGATGATGCAAAAAAAATCCAAATAAAGATGATTATGTGAATATGGGTAGGGTGTTCTCACAATGCCTGACATAGCAGGAAGCCTTATCCATATACATTAATGCTTATCAGAATGTGAAGAGGAATCATGTCATGTGAGCCCAGGTCTGTGCAGATATTAGCCTCCCTTTTTGAATGCATTAGTGTCAACTTTTCTTCATACACCAAAAATGCTCCATGGACATTTTGGTAATTGTATGCATAGGTCACTTCATGTGCTCCTCATGCATGATGCAATCACACCCCAACTGGAGATGCCATTAGGTAGATTGATAGGTAAATGGGTCCAGAGATTGATGATAAGGATTGGGTTTATCTTTTTTCAGGCACTTCTGCAACCATATCGTTATATCATGCAGATCCCAGGGAAGGAAATCCGGAAGAAGCTGGCTGTTGGCTTCAACTACTGGCTTCACATCCCAGAAGAAAAGCTGAAAATAGTTGAAGAGGTTGTCCAAATGCTTCACAATGCCAGCCTTCTGTGAGTGCATCTTATGGAAGTGCTTGTGTTGCATGTTTGAGTCATTTTTATAGTTTTTTACAGTGAAATTTACTAAAAATCTAGACCTAGGCTAATCAAAATTGATGCATGAAGGAATATCTTTGATAATCCACATGCAATTCCAGATTAGATGACATTGAGGACAGCAGCTTGCTGAGGCGGGGAATGCCAGTTGCCCATGCTGTCTTCGGAATTCCTCTTACCATCAATGCAGCGAATTATGCTTATTTTCTTGCTCTGCAAAGGGCTTTACAGCTAGATCACCCCAAGGTCAGAAATGATCAGTTTTACTGTCAAATATCATTTGGTGGAACCCTGGATCACTGATGATTCATAGTATCAGGTTTGCGAAGTGTTCACGGAGCAACTGTTGGAACTCCATCGTGGCCAAGGAATGGAGATCTACTGGAGAGATTCATACACACCTCCATCAGAAGAGGAGTATCGTGCCATGACTGTCCGCAGTGAGTGCAATCTCCATGGGTTGCAGGGGCCTCTACATCCTTCAGCCTTTACCTTCTTGTGACCATGGGGAATTTTGTTTTTGGACAATTTTATTCAAGAGAGAATTTCTTTCAATACCTCTGCTTCTTTGGTGGATAGATAGGTATGCAGTTGAACACTTGAGCATGGAATGATGAGATGGTATTTTCCTGAACCATGTAGAGACTGGAGGTCTGTTTGGGCTGGCCTTGCGGTTGATGCAGCTCTTCAGCTTGTGCCAGGAAGATTTCTCCCATCTCACTGGGATCCTTGGTCTCTACTTTCAGATCAGAGATGACTACTGCAATATGTGCTCCAAAGAGGTCCAAAATTCTCTAAAGCATCAGATATTTTATTGATGAGACTTTTTTTTTCCTAATTGTCATGATACCTCAATATCATTTTTCAGTATGCTGAGAGCAAGAGTTTCTGTGAGGATCTGACTGAGGGGAAGTTTAATTTCCCCATCATCCATGCTATTCATTCCCACCCAGAAGATCAGCAGATCATTAGTATCCTTTCTTCGAAGTTGTGCTATCTGGGTAAAAAAAAAAAGAAATTTTCTTGAACCATGTGTTCATAAAGATGTCAGTTTTATCAAATCTTCTATCATATGAAGGCAAGGAACAAGAGCTTCTGTTCTTACTTCGAATTCATGCCTAATAATTCAATGTGCACCACACAACCATCAGCCACATCAAGTATGAGGAGCAGGACATTATCTGCAAGAGCAGAGTAGTGTCTCGCAAGCCTAACAAGGCCATCAAGGTCCATGTTGGTGGAGTGGTATTGCTCAAGGAGTACTTCAAGGACAGAGAAAACATTCAACCAAGACCATTTGAAATGGCTGTTCTCAATGAGCTCTGTGGCCTCAGTGGCTCTGAGACAATGTTTGTCTGGATCGTGTGCTATGCACACCAACATATAAATATTACCATCAAGAAACTAATGCTTGCACCTGAAGTGCTCTTCAACCCTGGCTTTGTTGCTGCTCACTAACACAAAGAGACAAAGAGAATAGCCCATAACTGATGCTTCCACTGCAACCAACTTGTGAAGGTTCCAAAGGAAGCCTGTGGTGATTGGAAGCATTATTAAGGGAAAGAGCAAGTCACTCAGCGCTGGAAGGGCTCTTCATGATTTGCTTGACCACCAAAGTGTTGTAATGTCAAAGCTCACCAAGCTCAAGTACAACCAGATGGGGATCATGGACTTCATCAAGAAAGAGGCTTGTATTAGAGAAAATATTCAGGACTGCTGAAGCTCACAAAACAACTAGGAAGGTGAGCTCTACAATGGTAAGCCCAACTTTGTGGTTGTCTGCAAGACGATTGAACCAGCTGCTGCTGGAAAAGGGCTTTCTGAAAGATCCAGTTGAGCTCATGCTTACAGAGTTCAGTCGCTTGTACGGTTGGCATTCAAGGTTTGTGGTTTCCAAATAATCCTCAAACACCAAATCAATCTTGTGGCTGTACCTTGATACCTGTGTGGTTGGCCTCACCTAGCCAAAAGTGAAGAGCTACAAACTTTGTGCAGGTCTGGAGCACTTGATCCACTGATCAAGTGCTCCAGGCCTGCACAAAGTTTGGCCTGATCAAGTCTCATGACATGAAACGAATGAAAATTGGCTGAGTAGAAAATAACGAGGCTATTCTGTCCAGTCTAATCCACTGGTGACCATATCTATTACAGGAAAGACTTCCATGGTTCCTGCACTCCTCAACAAGAATGAATGTATTGAGAAATCAATATTAAAAAGTAGATGACCGTGAAGATTAGTTGATGAGAGGGATTTAATTGCCAGCAATTTTAAAAATATAATGTTTATTAAGCCATAGATACAATATTGTTTCCCTCTGAGAATTTTATTACATCCAAGTTTGGTACTGAGTGTGAGTGAGTTATTCTGCTCTTAAGAGTTGTGCCAATCCAGGTTTATACCCTCCCCTTTTTTTTCCCCTATGGTTTGAAGGCCATTGTTCAAATTCTGGCATCAGCTCATGGAAATGAAATAATCGTTTGAGAGGCATAGTTGAGTCCAGCAGAATACCTCCACCTCCACCTGAATATTGCCTCCATAATAAATTTTTTTTTCTAGTGTTGGCAATTTTGAACATATTTGACTTTTATTTTCTTTCCTCTTATGACAAACTTTATTTTCAGCTTCAGTTTTCTTGTGGTCCTTTGATTCATATCTGAATACCCGAAAGTCCTGGGGCTATGTACCTCACTCCTGTTGTCTTGTGATTTTGGTCTTTGTTCATTTTGTGCAGTTTGTTTGAATCTGGAATACATGACAAGCAGAAGTCCTTCACAGAAAACTGCATTCAGACATTTTACGCCAGAGAACAAAAGACACAATCCTGAAGCAATATGTGGTGTCACTGCTGGAGCGATTCGGTTCATTCGTGTACACAGAGGCAACACTGGAGCGGTTGGAGGAGGAGGCCACAAGGGAGATCCGTCGGCTCGGTGGGAACCCCTTCCTTGATGCCGCCCTCGAGGAACTCAAGACGTGGAGAAATTCGTGAAGTCTCCTTGTTGATCTTTGCCCTCTCATTTCTCAACTTGATTTTCAAATTTCTTAAATATATTTGTGATGATTGTATTATTTATGCTTCACTTGTGGCCATGCTGATTGGCAAGGTATTTCAATGATTGCACACCTACCTCTTTTCTGGTAACCAATCACTTTATGTTTTCATTTTCTAATTCAACCCTATATTGAATGAATCAATAAAAATTTCTTGATATAATTATTGAAGGCTTTCTATGCATGGTGAATGCTTCCATAAGATAATTATTAGATATTAAAACTGTCTTAATGGTACAAGCATCTGCTTGTTATCTTCTTGGTTAGCTATCTCTACCAAAGCTATTCAAATTACATAAAAGTGCATTTGCTTCATTCTGTAAAAGACAGTGCCTGCTTTTTATTGATGAATTTTCCCCAATAGACTAAAGCTTTACCATCTTTCATCTGTAATATTGTTGCCTAAAAAATAACAGATCTCAGGCATATTTTACTCGATTTGAATGATACATTCCCACTTAACAAGGACATGCTGTTGTTGCATTCATGTTAATTTTCCAACCCTGCAAGCCAGAGAAAATGAAAGAATGAAAGAAATGGGCTCATCCCATTTGTGCATCATATTCCATGTTGTTTGGTACAGGATGACCAATGAATAAACTTGGCCATTCAGGTATACGAATCACAACATCTGAATGTCAAGTCTTGAATGTTGAACACAACATGGGGAGAATGAACGAATGTTCAACATCACCCCCCCCCCCCCCTTAACCCATTGGCTTAGTACTACGGAACAGTTCTGTAGCTCCCCCCCCCCCCCCCCCCCCCCTTAACCCATTGGCTTAGTACTACGGAACAGTTCTGTAGCTGAACTTCAAGTTAGTCTTCCGTACGTAGTGTTGAGTGTCCCTCATAGATGGCACTTGCTGCATGACTGTTAGACTTCCTAAATACATGCAATAATTCCCTGCCTTGAATCCAGTGGGAAGTGCAAGAAGTGTCAGGTACCTCTCCACCTTGATGAATGTTTTGAAAGAGGTATCACACTGGTCAACTACTAGATGCAACCAGATGGGGAGAGGGATGAAGAGGGATAATTCTTATATACTGTGAGTAATTTAACATGATTTTGGGTGTTTGTTTTTATATTTTAATGGAAAAATGAAAAAATTGTTTCTGAGAATAATTGCTATTTTAGGGTACGGATTTGGGTATATGACTAATATGCCAATAATGATGCTTAAAATATCCTTGAATACCCGCTCCGATGGCATGAAATCTTGGTGGCTGATTTTGTCTTTTCCTTTGTAGTTGATGATGTACGGCTTAACCTTCTCTTCGTCGTGCCTTGATCTACTTTCCCGCGATTAAAAGTCATACGAGCCCTCGATGCCAAGGTGCACATCTGAAGAGCATACGTCGGTGACCCAGTCTGTCTATGTAAACACATTCTCTATTACTTCTATTCTGTGGCCTGAACAGGAGTAGGAACAGCGTCCCGAAACATGCGCTTTCTTGTTCGATGGCCTCAACGTGCGAATGAGAGATTCGACAGAATTTGGTGCATCACCGATACAGCCAGCTTGAATAGTTGGGGGAATGGGCTCGTGACGCTGGACATCGCGATATTCCCGTTCGGGATCCGACCAAAGTGGGAAGAGCGTCTGGGAAAATTTCGATCTTGGCAACGCGCTGTCTGCCACGGCCGACAAGGATGCCCAGATTTCGTTCCGATCCGCGGGAAGTGGAGGAGGGCAACGCAACTCTGATATCCGGCAACCCTGGGGCTCTCGAGACCGCTCGCTGAGCCAAGGTTCGGCAAATTTCTTTTTATTGTTCACATGTGACGATGTGATTTTTCTCACCTCATCCACGTAGCGCTGTCGTTAGGGTCCGTGGGCGTGTCTTTTTCTCCAGCCGCTAGCAGCTGCTAGCGAAAAAGACGCGTTGGCTAGGCACGACCACGTCATCGAATGACGTCACTCTAGCAGCTGCTAGCGGCTGCTAGCGGCTGGAGAAAAAGACGCGCCCATAACGAACTATGGGAGCGCTGAGCAGTTCAGCCTTAACATGACGTCATGGGATGCTGGAGGCCTCAGCAGAGCTAGCAGAGCCGCTAGGAAAAAAGACGCACCCCATGAGAGCAAGTCGCTAGTTTCTCTCATCCTATTTGTTATATTGCAGCCAGAAATGCTTATTTGAACTCTTCTTCAAATAATTAATTTTAATTACACGTTGCCGGATGAGGAATGAACGAGTTCATCCACGCTCTTACTCATAAGTGCGAGACCGGAGGATGGAATTTGCAATACATTTTTAAGAAATCTATTTTAAAATTGCAATCGATTTGCAAGCAAACTCGAAGACGCCGAGACTTTCTTTTTCCAAGAACACCATCCCCGATCATTTCTCATATGTGGATGCGCTGTGGGACGATCAGCCGTGCGGCGGGGCGATCGACGTCGAGTGCCAGCTCTACAAGCCTGAGGGACGAGGGGGGAAGGGGGCCGTGAGGGACGAGGGGGGAAGGAGGCCGTGAGGGACGAGTGTCGAGGGGGACTTTCAAAATGTATCGGGGGATTTTCGGGGGACTGTTTTCTTTCCGATAGTTTTCGTTTTCGTTAATGAATTTCAATCAATTTCTGTCATTTTCTGTCGATTTTGATAGAGAATCGATTTCGCATCAAGAAAGCTCCTCCACTTCCAGATTTTGCCATTTGCCCATCTCGAAGTCGATCCGGAATGCGCACCGGTCGCGAATTCGCCCTCGGGCGTCGAAGGACGTCGCGACCGTCTGCGCTCGACGGGGACGCGAAGCGAAGGTGGCGGCTCGCCGCGTTTCTGTCGGCAAACTACCAAATCGGTTTCAGCGGAACGCGTCACGATAAGAAATGAGAAATACCTTTCTTCTAGGTCAGGGGTCACAAACTCCTGACCCGCGGCCCCCAAACGCTCTCAGAGCGGCCCGCGACCCACCTGCGCACACCGAGAAAGAAACGTTTCAGGCCCGATATACGCAATCAAGGAAAACCTTCAGACTTTTTTCACTTTGACCCAAAGAGAGGTCCGATCTTGACGATGTGGCCCGCACATCGAAATGAGTTTGAGAACCCTGCTCTAGGTCGAAACATTTCTTTTGTAAATTTCTCTCGATTGAGAGAAATTTCTTCATAAATGAATCCTATGAACGTAATTTCCTATTTTACATGATATTCCGCATTTCAATAAACGTTTTTGCAACAATGTGATTTCAGAGGTACTTAAGAGGTACTCGAGAGATACTAGAGGGGTACTTCAGTTCAAAATCTTCGAACTGAAGATTTGGATCGTTGGCGTACGTGCGACGCGAGTTGACGTGCGAGTGAGCCGATCGGGTCGCACTTTGTTCCGTCCGTCGCCACTCCTTCACCTGTCTCTTTCGTTTTCCTCGCTTCCGAGAACCAAAGAAGTCATGCGTGCAGGTCGATGCTCGCGTGCAGCTTGCTCTGGCTGTCCCGGTTCGACGACTCGTGCAGCGAGACTCGATCCGCGATTGGTCCTCGGTCGGCCTGAGATTCGCCCTGTGGCCCGATCGAACCACGGCCGAGACGATGTGCCTTTTTGCCAGTTGGATTTTGCCGATCGAAGGACAAGCCTTGACCTTTCCCCTTTTGCAGACCAAAACTCCTGAATGAGCCTCTGTGGCAATTGGCTTTTCGATGTCATTTCGGAGGGAGTCAATGAAGTCAATCGACTTAATTTTTACCATGCAGTAACAAAAAATTATGTCCCATGTTTGAAGCTGTTCGTGTCACATTTGAACTCGTGCGTCGAATGTCGTCGCACTTCAAGTGGAAATTTCAATTCATTTGAAATAAAGTTGAAAATATCGAGATGATATAAATAAATTGCCAAGTTATTATTTCTTTACGGCCGATTGCACTTGCCGGATTCCCGCGAGCAACGAGCAATAGGCCAGCAAGCGAAGCAGTTCCCGTGTCGAAAGGCTGAGGCAGTCGGCGACGAGGGAACCTAGCCGGATGGAGTGTCGCTTTCTTCTGTGCAGATGCATTTTTTTAACTGGGATCTGATGGGTACTTCTGGTCCTTTTATGACCTTGGTTCGTGACCTTGGGACAAATGGATCGGATCATTTTATGATGGAGGGAACTGACCAATTTTTTTGCTGGGAAATTTGGCGTGCCTATTTTGCCATGCAATGAAAAAAAAAAAGAAGCGCGGTACAAGAAAATACTTTTTAATTATGTAAAATAGAAAAACTTAACAAGTAACTTAACATTCTCTAATGCCTTGACTCAATGAGGGAGCTTCTCTACGACGTAAGACTCGTGCCATTCGCCGGCTTTGTCCTTCCATTTCCAGACGAGCAGCCGGTACGGCCGGTCTTCCGAATCCAGCTTGGCGTCGTCCGGGTTATCCGGCTTGGGGTCGTCGGCGAGTTGCAAGTACTTTTCGTGTTCTTCCTGGATCGAGGACTTTCGGTCGGAGCCGACGCTTCCGTAGTAAGTTTCGTCGTAGATGACTTGAGGTCTGTCGGGAGAGTCGGCGGTCGGGAGGAAGTTTATCGCGGTTGGAGGCTGGAATTTTGTCGCGGTTGGAGGTTGGAATTTTGTCGCAGTTGGAAGTTGGAGTTTTGTCGTGCTTGGGCGCTTTTTCGTGTCGAATCCGACGTATTCGACTTCTTCCTCGCCGTAAGGGTTCGAGTCGGCCTTTTCGGAGCTCGTGTCGGGTCGGGACTTGGAGGTCCAGTCGGAGACTCTCACCGGGGCTGTGAGGACGTCTGGGAGGTCGGGTTCCTCCTGCGACTGCCCCGAGAAGGCGATCGGCTTTCGAGGGACCGAGTTGAATTCGGGGTCAGGCGGGGCGGAATCGTATCCGAGGTTCTCTGCCGAGTGATCCGGTGGGGCAGAATCGTATCCGGGGAATTCTGCCGAGTGATCCGGCGGGGTAGAATCGGGGTCGTCTTGAGGACGTGAAGGAAATCTCGGTCTCTCTGTCTCTTCGCCCTCGTACGGGTACCTAAGGATGATTCAGTCCATCATCGCAATTAGTCCAGTCGTTACCCGTGGCGTCCTCAAATACATGTCCTCAAAAAGTAGGACTCATTTGTTTGGGCGTGAAAGTGTGAAGGCTGTACCGAAAGTGTGAGTGATTTTTTTTTTTTCCTCTGCAACCACGCGTTACCGGAACGGAAACGTGGTCACAAAGTTGAGTGACGCGCTTC